GGCGGCTGGGAGGGAGCTCCAGTAGTGCCTTGGTCTGTGGTAACGAGGCTTTATTGAGCTCTTTGGTCTCTTTAAGACTTCGGTTAACCCTTTTTTTTTGCTAAACGGGCGGGTTGAGCCGTGCTGGGCCTGTGTCTGCTGCTCCCTGGCCGCGGCGGCCCGCTGAGGGTAGCGATCCCCTCCTGCTCTGACAGCCTTTCCGTTCTGCTCACGGCATGCCAGAAACAGGGGGCACCCAGGCTTCGCGTTAAAAACACGGGGGCTAGGCTCTATCGGTGGAAACGCCTGTGTTACTCTTATGCATATATCCTTTGAAAAATACTTAACTTGAGGGTCATGGTGTATAAAAACACGGCCTCCTGCAGCAGGACAGAAATCACCTTTGTTGTGTAGATTATTACGGTGATCTCTTGTAGACTGTAGTGCTTTCATTGTTGTCTTTTTCTTGCAGAAATGCAAATGGCTTTTCCTTCAAAGAAGCAATGCGTCAGCAAAACAGCAGATCTAGAGTTCAACAAAGATCCCAATTTTAACTTCAGCTCGAACGTTACAGCAGATGGTGTCTTCAAAGCCACGAACCAAGGGTAAGTGAAAGTAGAATATTGATGGATTTATGACTTGGCCAATGTCCTAGAGATGGCTTAGCATTTTGCATATTTTGTCAAAGTATCAGACGTGGTAATCTGCAAGAGTGCAGTGTTCTTCTGGTAATTGTATTTTGCCTGTCTTTTAAGGTTGCCTAAATCTGCCAAGAAAGTGGAACCGCTTTCAAAGACAGCTAAAAGAGGGTATGTTTCCTCAAATTTCTATTAGTTGCCATCATGCAGTAATGTTCCCTCTTGGAGGGTTATGATCAGCTCTATCCCATGTACAGCTTTCTTGCCAAGTTTGCTGATTAAAGCTCTTTGTCAGAAGCAAGAGCAAATGCTTCAAAAAAGGGCATGTATGTGGAAGTAGAAGATAAGGTGTGTAATACTGATACTTTGCCCCTACATCTTTGATGTTTGACTCTACAGACATATCAACAGATACCAGCAAGAGTTGAAAAGCAAGAATCAGCTGTTAGAAACAGCCAATCAACAGCTACACTCCAGACTAACAGCAGCACAGGTAAGGAAAGAGGAGGGAAAATAAATAAATCATTGATATATTTTGATCCCTACAGGGTCAGATCAAAGGGTTGTCTTGCTCATTTTCCTGTTGCCATCAGAAGTCAGTCGAGTTTGGGTGGGCTGGGTTTTCTCCTTTGACACCTGTGAAATCTGCTAGAACCTGGAAATCAGCGGAGCTGCAGATATATTTGGATGGATAATGCATTCAGATCACTGTTAAATAGTAATCAGAGCTCTAATTCCATTTTAAACTCATTGTGGGAGGATATTTCAAGTTCACAACTATGCATTTGCATGAGATTTTATTAAAACAGCCTTGATATTGCCAGATGCTTCCTAGCTACATCAAGAAGAACTGTAAACAATCACTTGCCGCTGATGGTTTGCGCTCTATTAATTGTTCTTTGGTAGCTCCTAACATGTGGTAGATAAGCTATGCAATTTCCTTGTTCCTTTTGCCCAGTCTCTCGTAGCTTTGTTAACCTGGCGTGTAGTGGGGTGTGAAAGCGCATACGATATTGGTGACGTGGGTTCAGGAATGTGTATGGTCTCATTTTGGTAACGAAGTGTGGCGTATCAAAGCACGGACTCCTGCACGCAGGACAGAAATCACCTTCATTGTGCATAGCCAGCCTCTTTTATACTGTCTGTGCTCTGATGTAATCTCATGCAAAAGCAAGCTTGTACTTTTCCATCATGCGCCCTGCATGCGAGTGTCCACACAGCTCCTGCTCTAACAAACGTGTTTTGCGGTGCTCCCTCTGGTTCTTTGTACCTCCCATGGCTTATATCCACCCAGCTCCAGGGCATCACACTCTGCCAGCCTAGTCAGGCTGCTTGCTGATCCCGCAACGAAGAATTCTACTTGGATTTTGGTCGCTGCTGTGCACTAAGTTTGAGGGACAGTGACCTTGTTCTCTTCAGAGTATTGAATGCAGAGCTCAGCTTATATAAGCTTATGTTTCTTCATGCAGTATTGTGTCATATTGCCGCCTAATCTTTTAGCCTCTTTGTATTCTTCTGCAAATTTTTTCCCATCTGTTCAGCACTGGTGAGGCAAAACCTGGAGTATTGTGTCCAGTTCTGGGCTTTTGGTACAAGAGAGACATGGACATACTGGAGAGAGTCCAGCAAAGGGCCACTAAGATGATTCAGGGACTGCAGGAAAGGCTGAGAGAACGGTTCAGTGATAATGTTTCAAGCAGATTTGACTTTCTTGAATCAAGTTTAGATTCAGAATTGGCACCTCATTATTCATCACCTCTTAAAGATCACTCTAGGATACACTTAACACAATTCCTGTCGTGCAAGAGGCCCTACTGGTATCCTCCAGCTGCAAAAGCTCACTTTATTTCCTAGTTCTTAACCAGCTACTAATCTGTGAGATGATCATTCCTCTTATCTCACAGCTTGATTTCTTTAAGAGCCTTTCAGACCTCCTATGAAATGTTCAAAAAGCTTCCGACACTATCAGCTGGATCACCCTAATCCACATGCTTATTGATTCTCGTGGAGAATCGCATCCAACTTGTGAGGTTGATCAGCTTATCCGATTGCCTGGTAATATCTGAGCTGCGTGGGGAATAACGCTGTGGCTTAAAGATTCCCAGGTGCCCTTTTCTTCCCAATGTTTGTATGCTCTTCAATGCATCCAACTCTTGAATTATTTATATATATGAGAGGGAGCACAAGAAAATATATGCTGGGATTGCCTAAAAGCAATTTAGGATCAATTTTTTTCTAGTAATTGCTATGACATGTGGATGTGACAAATGTAGTAATGCTGTCAAGAAGCAGGAGTAGGGGTCTGCAGCAGACTGATTTGCTCTGGTGGTAGAGACAGAAGGGCAAGATGTGATTCTTGGTGCTGGTGCGGCACTTGTTAAGCTGTTAGCATCTCAGTATTACTGATTCATGGGAAGAAATTCTCCTTGGAAACTTGATTCACTTACAACCTGTGTTAATGACAGGGCACCATAAAGGAGTTAAAGGAGGAGAATGAAGGCCTGGTACAAGAAGTTGAGAAGCTCAAGAAATTTCAGGAGACTTGCATGGTGATTTTAGAAAGCCGAAACATTGATCCTGGTAAGGACTATGCATGTCACATACCATTCTGGTACTCGTTCTTCAGCACTCTTTTCCTGTTGTTACTGTTCATAAGACATTTGCACTCTGCTTCCTTGATAAGGAAATACTGCTGTCACTCCAGGGTTTTTTTTTTTTTCCTATCCTAAGAGAAAAAGCTGATTCCTGTAGTAGTCCCTGTCCTGGGTAAACTTTGAAAATAATTTAGTCTTTTTTTGCTGTAGAAATTTACTTTGAAAAGCTGTTAGTTCTTACAAGCAAAGTTATCTGGATATTAGATGTTCACTGGTGCATCCCATAAATTAGTTACAGGCAGCAGCATTGTGGAGGAGGAAGAAAAGACACAAGAATGCCAGAAGCAGACCACGGTAAGAAAATTTTGAAATAGCTGTAGGAGTGAACTGGGCTTTGAGAGGTCCGTGTGCTACTGCCCTTCCCTATTGATGTTGTGGAAACAGCTGCTGAGACTTGCTTTTATTGGCATTATATTAAACTATTTTCCTTTTGGCTCTTCAGCTGTTAACCGAGAAGCTCATAGAACAGTTGAAGCTATTTAATCAAACAGCTGCAAAAGAAACGGAGGCGCTTGAGGTAAGACTGCGACTTTGTTCCAGACTCAACCAGGGAATGAGCATGTGGTGCCGAGTGAGATTCTGAAGGTTATTTTGCTTCTCCCAGTCCTGCTCTATTCTCCAAATGAACTGGACAGGGAAAGCAGTGGATGTGTTACTCCCCTTCTGAACAGGGCTCAAAGCAAAGTTTATGGTGGAGCAAAGTTAATCCTCATCTCTGCCATTTCAGGTTGAATTATGTACAATTGAACTCAAAACAAGGTAGAAGGTGAAAGTGATAGTAATGGCTGATAGCTTCCAAGTTAGACTGAATCAGTTCCAAAGTGAAGATGGATGCTTGGCAAGGGGTGCAGAGCAGGGGCCTCGGGTAGTCTCTCTGGCAACTAAGAAGCAGGCAAGCACAAGCAGCTTCAATAATAGTGTCTATATACTGACCAAAACAGCAATTAAATCACAGTTCTACAATTCTTGGTAAGATGTTTAAGAGCTAATTAATAACATTGCTGTTTATATAGGACATCCTAAACTTTGGTCACAGATAAACTGCCAAAACAAGGTAAAAGCCATCCCCGTGCAGGCAGACTGATGTTAGTGTAGCGGGTAAGACCCTGCAGAAGAGTTCAAGTGGTGTAATTAGAGCTGCTTTAGATCTTGGCTTTGCTCTTGAGGGCTTTGGTGTTAGTAAAATGTCCTGTACACTGACTTCTCTACACAGACAGCGATGGCCAAGTGGAAATCGGCAGAAAAAGAGATACACCAATCCCTGGAGAAGCATTCCTCCTTTCAGGCAGAAATTAAGGAATGTTCAGCAGTCCTTAATGAGTTGGAGCAGCTCCTGGCGATGTGAGGCATGAGGATGGACTGTACTGTCTTGTTTTGATGTTTTACTCCTAGTTCAGTGGTCTCTACGTGGTGAACTTAGTTCTTACGTTTCGCGGCCTAAAAGGAGGAGCAGGTCCCTGCTCTGGTGGGACAGAACTGGACTGAGAGGGGAGAGCAGTGATGGCTGGCTGCCCTGGTGTCCAGCACTGCCGGGGCTGGCCTCTCCCTGCGCACCGTGCCGGGGACCGGCTCCTCCGTTACACCCTGTTGTAATTATTTCTGTGTTTAACCCAATAAAGGCACCGGAAGGAAGCCGACACGCGCCGTTTCTCCCCCCAGCCAGCCCTGCAGCCCGTTCCCGCCGCCCTCCGCCTCCTTCCGGGCCCCACCGGAGGGG